GGAGTGCTGGCCAGGGCTGTTCAGTGCTGGCTGCAAACTGGGGAAAAGAGCAATATTTCTCCCACTGGACTCAGAGCCAAGCACTTGTGACACTGGCAGAAGGGTAAAATGCTCCCTGGGGAGCCCTGAAAGGCAAACTGGTGTGTCACAGCAGTGGAGCTGGATCTTGGTGTGCACTGGGTGCTGATGTGGCACTGGTAGTAGCTGGGGAAGGGAAAAGAAAGACAGCCCTACAAAGGAAGGTAAGGAATTTAAACATCCCATTATGACACTGCTACATGCATACCAATACATGATACAGGACTGCCGTATTTTATCCAATAACCTGCATATACCTCAGAGGTGTATGTATTAAAAGAGGAAATGGTTAGCTATTTAATTAAGGAAGCAAAATTGAAGTGATAATATAAAAAAGGAGCATAATTGCTATTCTGATCAATCATCAGCTGGGACTAGCTTAAAATGCAGCTACTTTAAAATCTCACTAGAGACTTTACAAGGATTGCTGAACTTGGCACTTCTGCCAGTTCTCTCTGGAAAAGCCAGATAGTGGAATCCCCCATTTCCACCCATTTGCAGGTGCTTTGGCACTAGTTATACTTTTTGTCTGGATGCTTATGAGAATCCATGATTTTAATTTCTGCATATTTGAAGGCATCCCCAGAGCCTTGGCAGCAGCATTTTCATGGCAGGGCATGGGGAAGGTAGAAGGGGGGAACTCCTCTTTGAGGGAAGAGTGCTGTGGAAGATGCAAAGGCAAAGGCTGGCCTTCCCCTGCAGTTCTGCTCCACATCACCACGGCTGCCTGCAGTCAGTTCCTGATGTGGAGCCGTTTGTAATATCCCAGTGAATGCCCTCTCAGCCTGGCAATCCTGCAGGGACCTGCCATCACCTCTGGCTTGACTGAGCATCTGAGAGGTTTTCTGCCTTGAGACTTTGGACGATGTGTTTCCAGAGCCAAAGGACAACAAGAGTTGACTCCGTATTAATGCCAGACTTTAAATGTTTTGACTATAAAACTGAAACACCATTACCTATTCCCTGCAGAGCTCCACTCTCTCCCTCTCTCTCCTTGCCTTCTCCTCTCCACACTGTAGCCTTTTGTATGTCTCAGGCATTAATCCCTCGCTGCCGGGTTGTGTAAATTAAAGAATAATAGAGCTGCAGAGGCATAAGCTCGCAATGATGGGGAATGTGTTTGTATGCTAAGAAGCAATTTCAGCGAAAATTAACTCAATTTCATCTGAAATAGTGAAGACCGGCATAAGCTGGCAGATCCCCGAGGATGGTAAAATTACTTTGTCAAAGCTCTGCTTGCTTAAATTAACCAAGCAAGCACTCCAGGTTATTGGCAAGATGCAGCTAGTAACTAGGTTTTAATAAACAAAAATAGCTTTTTGGATAAATAAGAAAAGTGCAAAGCATCTTATGCATTCTGCTGATGTGTTCATCTGTGTGTCCTCAGCAGCAAGACCTTCACATTCCTTCAGGAGCTTTCATCAAGTCTCTGTGTCTGGCTGGTCTGCCTTCAGAGCCTTTGCAAACAAGTATCAATGAGAAAATGCTTTTGGAGATAATCTTGGATAAGTCTTTTGCCAACACCTAAGACACTAAATGGCTCAGTCTGCACCACCAAAGTGTGGTAACAGCAGCTGTATCTAGAGACGTTTTATTTTCATATCAGAAGATGTCTGTTGCTGGGTTTATGACTATTAAATTGCTCAAAATAAGATGTGGTGTCATAACAAAAATTGCTCTACACTGTCACTGATACAGCAGATTTCCCAGATGAATACATTGATTCCAAAGGCCAAGTCAGGGTGTGAGCTTTCTCCTCCAGCTGGGAACTCAGGTCCAAGGGAAGTGAAAATTTCACCACAGCAAGAGTGGCTCAAGGACCAGCTCAGAGGGTTTGTGAATCAGTTGAGAACGTGCTGGTTTGTAGAGTTTATTTTTGTTGGTTTTTTTTGCAGTTTGTTTGTTTGTATTGCTGCTAATTGCATGTCTGAGGATCCTGTTGTGCAAACAGGTTTTTTGTTGGAAGTTGTGATCTTTAGGAAGGATCCTGTGAAAATGCTTATTCTTTTGCCTCTTAGTCCACCACTGTCATGAAAGAAGATTGTTTCTTTTGGATCCCATTCCACCAGGTATTGTGATTTTGGTTCTAAGTATTTCATTAGAAATGTCATTAATTGGACAGAAGGATAAAGAGCTTAGGAACCTCTCCATTGGAGGAGAATATGGAAAAGCTCAGAACTGAAAAACTACATAATCTCAATTGATTCTGTCTCTCTCCAAATGAGGTCTTCAGTATTCAAAGAGCACTCCATATTTGAAGTCTTTGGGTATGTGTCATCAGTACCCTCGTCAGAAGGATGGATTGTTCCTTCTTTCTTAGCCAGGTCATGATTCCTGGCACTGGGAGCTACTTCCATTCCTGTCCCAAAGACCCCAGCAAATGGGACCATTAATGCTTTTACCAGGGAGAATTGTAGAAAGATCAGACCAGTCAAATGGGAACATGAGGTGGAACCCCAGCATACAGGAACTGCAGTTCCCTGGCTGGTTGTTAACTCCCCTCCCTTCCTACCATAAATCTCAGTATCTGCAGCAGGGAAAGCAGCTGCATATAAGATTTGCTGAGCCATCCACTCATTAAAGTGTTTCACTGGTAAAGAAATACTTTCTCTCACTGTTGCATATTTACAGTTTGGAGATTGCTTGTTAGGACAATCTGAGGTTGTATTTTTTAGCTGTGCTGCTTTCAGATGTCAGGAGGAGACACTTGGTTAATAACCCACAGTTCCTTTCCATGAACTCTAGTGCCCAGACTTGGGAGACAGCTGGCAGCCCCTCTCCTCATAAACAAAAACACAGCCTAGGAAATATGGGACCAGCTCTGTGTAAAATCACCTCCCTTTGATAGGATTAATTGCAGAAATGCCACCAACTTGTCGTTAAATCCAACAAATGCATTTGGAGCAAGGAATAAATCGTGTAGGGAGGCAGTGGCTCATTTGGACAAACGCTCCCCGCTGAGACCTTTCATCACAGCACTGCTCCATTGAGTTGTCCGTCACTTTTGCTTCTTTTCCCCATTAATGCAGTGGCTGTGGTCAGAAAGGTGCCAGCTTTGAGACAAGGGCCTCAAAACCAGTCAGGAAATAAAAGTGATACCTTCCCCCCGCCCTGCACTATCAGCAGCCTGTCTGTCTGCTCTCGCAGAGCTGCTATCTGCTCCCTGCACGCTGCTCCCGTGTTCTATCTGCTCCCTCCACTGATAAGACCCAGTTCATCCATTGTCAGCCCTGCTGAGCCAATCTAGCTGCATTCGAGCGAGCTGGATTTTGTTCTGCATCACGTATCAATGACAACTTCCAGCGATGGCCTTGCTTTTAAAACCTGGCTGGTGAGGGTGCACGGAGCTCCAAGAGCAAAGCACATCTTTAAACACAAAGGGAATTCAAAGCGGCTTAAAAAGGGGCTTTGAAAATAGAGGAAATATGTTGTGGGAGCCATCAGGAGAGACTAGATAAACACGGGACACCGGGATAGCCGCAGGCAGAGTGCTGTACTGTGCCACACCTGGAACAGGAGTGCTGGTGGGCAGGGAGCACGGCAGTGTGCCTGCTAGGAAAGCAGAAGGGGGATATTTGTGATGAAGGCACGGCAGTGACACTGAGTGGCTGGAGACTGTCGCAAGTGATCCGAGCTCTGGCCTCCCTCTCCTGCAGTGGCATGTCAAAAGTAGTCAGGAGGGCAGGGGAATCAACAGGATCCCCCACCTAGACCTCTGTGCCCTCTGAAATGCCCCAGTGATGTGGCTGGGGTAGGAGCAGGAGCCTCTTGAGTTCTAAGCAGGGCTGTGTTGCAGCCAAGGCCTCAAGGAGCTACTGAGTAATTTGAATAATAAATAAAACGTAGCCTTCAACTATGTTTTTATTAACTGGATGACACATTTTAATATCAAATTACTTCGATACTCTTGACTCAGAAGGCTTGGAAGTGTCAAGATGCAGGGGAAAAGCCAATTGCATAGATGCTTTGCTGAGTATGAAACTACTCAAGTACTAGTTTGTGTGTATTTCACCTTTAATGAAGCTGACATTTTATGAGTCAGCACTGATGGGAAATATGAAGGTTGTCTTTCAGGAACACCTTACTCCTTGTCTCTGCCTGCCAAGATGTCACCTCCTTGCTCTTTGCTCTACGTCTGCCATGCTTTTCTCCAGCCCTTTTAACTTTCCCTACTCAAAAGATTAACCCTACAGTCTCACACTGGAGAACTTACTTCAGCTGCACAGAAACAGCAGTACAAGACAGATAAGAAAGCAATTTTACCCTGAGGAAGCACGAGGAGTGTCTGCATCATATACACTTGCTTTACAAAACAGCAGCTACTTATGCAAAGCAAGTGGCCTTTTAAAACCAAGACAGGGTACATGGAAAAGCTGTCATGGCAGATGCCTCATTAGACCTCTATCATGGCTGCATGGAGCAGTTTCTGTCCTATCCTTATTTAGTTTTCCACTATGGGAGGTGGTGTGTCTCACTGCTTGCCTGCACTGTGTTGTGGCCATAATCCTGGGGCAGGGCAGACAAATTGTGAAAATCCAGTTTGAGAATCCCGAGGGGAAGGGAAGGGAAAGGAGAGCTGGAGTGAAGTGTCTTCATGTGAGGAATTGGTGACAGATCCAAAGTGGGATTTAGACCTGATCTATGCTTTTTTTCCCCCCAAGACATCTCCCAGCTCTGCCCAGAAGAATCACATGCTTTGCTTCTGTTTCCAAGGGTCTTAATATGGAAGATTTCAAACTTAATATTACAAAAAGTGGCTTTGTAGGCACTCCTAGAGATCAGAAGCTTGTGTTGGTCCTTCAGCCTTGCTCTGGAAGGGTTGTGATGGTGCAGAGAAAGATTGTGGATATGCAGAAAAAAAGAGATCAGATGATGCCATGCAAGAAAATCCATCAAAGTTTATTAACCACAGAGAGCCATTATTTCAGGTGGGCAATGCCTGACCTGAGGCTGGGGGGAGCAGGTAGCGTACCCAGAAAAGCAGACTCAATATCCTCACCCTTTCTCTGCCCTTTCCTTGCTGCCTTCAGCAGCAGGGCAGCAGGCTGGATGGATGCTTGGCTTTGTTCACTGCAAAGCTCTCGTCTTTGAACCTCAAAGGTAAAAATAGCCAGAGATCTCTGACTCGGTTCACACAAGTGTCTTTGAGATGGGAAAAGCTTTCAATTGCTTCCAGCCTGGGGCCAGAGCAGTACCAGTGACCATGAAGTAGAAGGCTCCACATCCCATATTAACCAGTCACTGCAGTCCTGTTCTCTCTTCTTTTCCTTGCCTTGACTTTGGTTTTTTTTAGCCTCTAATGAAGCACAAGTATCCGGAAGGAAGGCATGCCAGGGGTGACAGGGAAATGTCCTTCTGATCTCTCCTCTTGAAGGAAGATTTGGAACATTTTAATAAAGTGAATTAAGAACTTGGACACAAAAAGTAACCTGTTTCTCGGTGACTGGTGCTTTAATCTTCTCCCTGAGCATCTGATAAAGGCTTTCCTTAAAGAAACCTCCGGAACACAAAAGGGAAAATAAAAGAATGGGAGAATAGACTGAGAAGTGCAAGATGTTTAAAGGCACCCCAAAAAATGAAGCTGCTTGGGTGTTAATTGTGTTCTCTTTTCCCAGAGCCTATTTCTCTCTTTCGTTTCTGATTTTGGATCAATGCTAGAGGCTGCAAAGCTAAACCAAGGAAGGAAAAAGCCTTTGATTAGACAATCTGAGTGGTAAAAAAGGTATTGAACAGAAAGTGCAGTCAATGAGCTACTCAATACAACAATTAGAAGGTGAAACTTTTTCTTTCCCTTTCGTAGCAAGAAACACCTCTGCTCTGCTGGAAGGAGGTGGGAGGGAGGAATTCTCCCCGTTCTGGTTCCCAATTGTCTTCTGGACCTATTCCATTTCAAAGAAATATATGACCTATAAAACTGGCCCATTTTCATATCACCCAATACAATCTATAAAACTATCTGGCATTTAAAGGGACTCTCACGGTGTTTACAGTGACAAGATTACTGTTACAATAAATTAATAAAAGTATGCAGAAAAAATGTTGCCTCTACAAGCATTCCAGGAATATTTCTAATTATAGAATCTTTCCAACACTGCTGGCTACATAAATGGTTACACAGCTGAAGCTTTATCCAGCCAGGGAACTGCACTGCTCCTTGGAAATTACATGTGAAAAAAATCTGAGAAAGTTGAGTGGATTGGACTGAAACACTAATACAGTAACACATGGATTTTTTTTCCTGTCCTAATGATTGGAATTACTGCTATAAAACTGGATATCTTAAAGGATAATGTCCTTCCCCTAAGCATTTTGAAGCAGGGGAGGACGTCAGGGTGCTGCAGTTAGCTCAACATGTGTTATCCTGAATTCCTTCAAGCAGGTCCCTGGGAGCCAGTGGCACTTGGAAGAAGGTCCAGTTAAGCACCGTGTGGGTCTTTGCAGAATCACTGCTTTCACCAAGGCCTGCAGCATTCAGAGCACTGCCAGTCTCTTGGGCTACATTTTGAGCTGAATTTGGTTCAAGAATATGGTGTCTCCTTCAGCCTGGATGGCACCTACCCCAACCCAAGGCAGACCCTGAGCTGCATTTGCTGTGGTTGTGCCAGAAACAAAGGGTGGCATCAGAGGCTCTCTCAGAACATGTGCAAGCAGAGGGAATCTGTGACCCAACTCTTCCACCCATCAGGCAGCTTCAGATATCAAAGCCACACGAGTCCCAGGGGAGCCTTATTTATTCCTGATGCTTCAATTTAAGCTTGTCTTTGAAGCCTAGATCTCACAGCAGAAGAGGAATTGAAAAGCTCCTGCCTCTCTCTCCCTCACAGTTTCAGACACATCTACAGCCATTTTTAGCCACAGACCATACCAGCAAAATAAAAGTTGGGTTCACATCACAGCAGTATCCAGTGCTGTAAGATTGAATCTCTCATTTTTGCCCCCTCACCTCTGAGAGGCTGCAGACATTCCCTCCAGTCCCTGAGACTGTTTTGCTATCTGGTTTTCCCTTCAAGCATCGACTGCCCACAAACAGCTGGGGCAGGAAGGGTTAACCTCCAATTCCCTCACTCCTGACCACACAAAAAGTTACAAATCCTCCTCTATGCTGCTGCTGCTCTTGATCTGCAGTGTAAAGGGAGAAAAAAAACAACCCAAACAAACCAGAGATTAAAAAACAGGTAGGTTTTATAGATCAGCTGCAAAAGGAAAAGCAGAAAGATAGAGCAGAGGGGCTGGGAGGGAGCAGCCCTCAGCTGGCACTACATAGGCTTTGCTGTTCACCTCTTTTACTACATCCTTTACTGTCCTATAAACATGGCTAAGCCCTAGCAGCATCCTTACATCTCACAGAACCCTGTGCCTCCTTCCTGGGAAGTGCCAGATCTTCATCTACCAGCCATGTACTACCTCCTGTCCCACTGGGAGCTTTATAGGGCAACTACCAGCCCCACTGCCAAATAACACCTTCCTCACACAGCTCCTTTTGTGCTCTTTTTACAACCACAGATTCACAAAATACTCATTTTTCTTATGTTTTTCCTCCTTTCTACTGACCCTGTCCCTCCCCATCTGCTAATATTCTGTCTCTCCCCATCTTGCTTCCTATGCACTGTTGCTCTCCAAATTGTTTTTTTTTTTCTTTGGGTCCTATTTTTTCTGATTAACAAAAAAAATAGAATGAGTCCAGGAGCTTTGCGATTTTTGTTTTCAAGCACACATTTTGTTTTGATAAACTGCATTGTTTTGTCTATAGAAAAGTATTAACTGCTTACATCTATTTTCTCAAAGACCGCACATGAATATTAAAAGGGATTTATTCCTACAATGGCTTCGGGCAGTTGAGTAATCCATTATAGGCTGTCATATCACACTGTGGTAATGTGAAAAGCTGGGAGTCCCTCCAATAATATTTATTAGCAATACAGGCACATTTTCACTTTATATTTTTTTCCCCCTTCCTGTGATAAGTTCACGTATAAAAATTTTCATTAGTTTCTTTAAGCTGTTGCTTGATTTTAATTATGATGGTGATAACGATGATTTAAAACAATAAGTGAATTTCACGCCAGTGATACTGACCTGGTTTATTGCGTTTATTTTAGTATGTACCAGAATGCTCAATTTAAGGCCCACAGGCCACCTGGATGGTGTTTGGCCAATATTTCCCTCCCTCCCCAGGGTCTCCTGTGGCCCTGCAATGGAGAAGCCCACAGGAGTGGGCTGTAGGGCTGTAGGACCCACATCTGCTTTGGGCATAGGGCAAAGAGGGGTAGGAGGGTGGGGAAAGGCTTTTCTCCTTCCCCCCATAACACCAGAGCTGTTCAACACTGATGGCTGAGATCAGGGTCCCCACACGAGGCTCTGACCTTGCCTTCTGCCTCCTGCCCTCACATGTGAGATGCTCTGCAGTCATTTTATTTGCCTTTCTCTTCACTTCTTCCACAGGAGACTTGAACCTTTCTCCTACCTCCCCCATCTGAGTCTGAGCTTTTCCCTGCTGCAGTTCCTTGGTGGCAGCACCTGGTGCTCAGCTCTGAACCAGAGCTGGAGCTCAGCAGACGTGTCTGCACCCACCGGCACTGAGACACTGCAGGAACTCCTTTGTGTTATTCCAGGCTGATTCCACCCCAGGAAGGTGCTAAGCCATGAGGGTGGGACCCCTGAACTGCTCTGTTATTTCCTGTGGGGCCAGCCAGGAGCCCAGCGAGCACAGCAACTGCAGTGACACACACTTTCTTTCCACTGGGACCCAAACCAAGACTGGTTCCTTATTTCACTGAGGCTGAGCTGCTGCCAGAGGCTAATGAATGGTGGTCAACAGTGAACTGACCTTCCTCTGAACTCATGATCCCAAGGTGAACAGCTCCATTTATCCAGAACCCACTACTGCCAATCAGCTCTTCTACATTTACCTTCAGCTGGATCTGACGAGGAGGGCAATCAGTGAGTGGTTTTGCTGATCTTGGATGGATGCAGCACATGGAGGAAACACTTGCCTCCATCTCTTGCTCCTTTTGATTATACACACGACCCAAACAGAGCATGACCTGCTGGCAAACACATCCTGGAGATGGAGAGTATGAGAAGCCCACATCATCCTATATGACAGTCTGCTGTTAAACTGGACTAGCTGTCATGACCTTGGAAGCAGCCTGTGGGGAAAAAAGGTTTTCTCCAGAAAATTCTGTCTTGGTTGAACTGTGCTGTGAGGCTGAGACAGTGGGGTAATCCACAACAGTTTTGATGAGTGAGGAAGAGTAATGGGGTTGTGTAAAATGTTATTAGCCCCCATGGGTCACACATGGCTGTACCACACCTTCAGAGTAATTTTTTCTGGGCACGCGTATGGAGAGTGGCTCAGGAATGGGTGGGGTGGGAGTGGAAGGGGCTTAGCAGCATCACTGCTGGCCTCTTACTCCAGCCTTCTCCTATAGTTCACCATTGTGTCTCCTGTCCCCTCAGCTGTCACTGCCATGTGGGTAAAAACTGCTTTGAGATTTTACCAGAGCAAGTCAGCTCATGTTTGCACAGGGCCACATGTGGGACCAACATCTGCAAGTGGAGCTGGGCTTGTGTGTGGATGCAGATGGTCCATGGTGTGAGCAGGAAGATGGGAGTGAGCACTAAAACCACAGGGCTCACCTCCACAGCCCCTTTGCAATTCATTCTACACCCAGAGCTCCCGGGCCTACGCTTGTGACATAATGATTGTCTCCACAGCAACCAATTATGATGATATAAATAAACCTTCTATGATATTATTGCACTGCATAGAGGAGAGATGGAAAGTGGTGAACAACAGGTTGGGGCTGGGGAGAAGGAATAGTTGTGTAGATAGTCAAAGATAACTCTAGCTGGTGATGAAGGTATTAATGACCCTAAATTATATGCAAACAAATGGTATTTTCAAGATTCTTGTTTCTTACTAGCTCCTGTTCAGTCTCCAGTTAGTTCTCCTGAGGAAGCACCTTATGGCCCAAATAGCAGTGCTCAAACTTGGACATCAAACCCAGGATTCTCTTTTCTTCATGGGCTAACAGCAAAATCTGCCTGAGGCTGGTGGACAAGATGTCTGTTCTCCAGCCTTTTGTGAAGATTTATTTATAAGAATGCCATGGCTTTGGATGAGAGTCTTTGGCTCAATATTGAAGTTTAGTCACCTTACACAGACTGAGTAGCTTGGAAAGTTGTCTTTGTTCCTCAGTTTATCTTTGAACATTTATATATTGCTCTTTGGTTGGAAGGGATGCTGCAATGGGGCCTTTCTGTGGGCATTCTGAGAATAGTGGAGTCCCTGAAAGTGTCCTCAGGGGATGCAGAGGAGAAGTGGAAACTTTCCTTGGGTCCTCATTTTTCCATGTGAAGTGAAATTTGCATCCCCAGTGTCCTTGATTTCAGCATCCTCCATTTGCTCTTTGCTCACCACGTTGGTCTCCTGCCCCTGCCAGGTGAAGCCTCTTCACCTTGGTTTGCTGGTGGTGGCTGGCAACCTGCCTGTCCCTGCATCCCTGCCTGCCACTGAGTGGCTGCTGGAATCTCACTGGAATCAATATGCAACACCACATCTCTTCTCCTTGGATGGTTACAGAGGATTTTAGTCTCCTGCCCTATGTGTAAAACCTGGCACAGATTTTTTTGGCTCCTGTCCCTCCCCCAGCATGGTGCATGCTGAACTTCCCACAGCTCCCAGATTGGGCTGGAAATTGTGTTTTTCCTTCCTGTGATAATGATGCAATCCCACCATGAGCTGGCTACACCAGTTTAGCTGTTTGCTCAGCTTTAGCTGGCTTGATGTCAACAGTGGGGGACCTTTTCCCCAGGACCCCGAGAACACTTTGAAACCTGAGGTCAGGGACCCTCACGCTGCTGTGGGTGCCAGCCTGGGCACTTTATATATCACAAGGGCAGTAGCCAAGTGAGAGAGCTCTTCCCCCAGCCAGCTGCAAAGGACTCATTAGCCAGCAGCTATTTAGGCAGTGGCACTGCAGCAACTCTCAGTCGGAAAAGGCTGATTTGTGGTGGCTCCCTCTTCACACTGAGACTGCACTGATCTGGAATATAAATACTGCTAATCCTCTGCATTAATACCAGCAGCTTTGATCATCTTTCCCCATTATCACTCCCTTGCTGTTAATAAAAGTGATAACCATGGGGGAGAAGGGAAGGGGGACTGGACTAATCAGTTTGCAGTTAGCAGTGCTGTAAGTAAACTGACAGGTCTGGAGACCAGGGAGCTGAGGGAACCCTGCAGAGGTGGTGTTAAATAAACACTTTTGTTCGTGCAGGATGCAAAAATGAGACACCCAAGGCAACTTGCCCTTAGTGGCAGTGCTCCTGGACTACAAGGAGGAGCACAGGATTAAATTTCTAGCAGGAACTTCCTACCAGGGCATGTTTCTCTTCCATCTGAAGCAGTTGGCTGGGTGGCTTCCAAGTTTATTTGAGTTGGTGGGAAAGAGGCAGGAAGGGCACTATGTTTCCAAAGAGTAAAACAGGTATTTATGGGTTCCTGCTCCTTCCATCTCTTTCAGGTTCACACATGCCCTTAGCTCTCTTGTTCTCTTGTATCTAGCTATGCTATTGGAGTTTCAACTACAAAAGTCATGCCCAAGCTTTGGAGAGACTTTTCTTGGGAGAGGAGTAGAGACAATGTATTTCCCTATGTGGGACCCTACTGATAGCTCAGGCAGACTGGGAAAAACAGATAGTGATTGATAGTATTTGCTTATGATGGTTCCCGATGGCATTTTGGAGAAAAATGGGGAGGATAACTAATTTTCTCACTAGAATCTTAGCTTTTGAACAAGATAATTGAGTCTCTTGCCTTCATATTGAAAAGATAAATGTGCCTTGAGAGTGGCCAATTGTGTCTGATTGTGTCTGCAGAGAGCCTGAGAATAAGGAAAAGCAGGTGCATCACTTGCACATTAGTTACCAACTTCCCTGATAGGCACTTAAGTGGCCCAGTTATTAACCAGCCACTGCAGGGCTGGAAGGGCAGGGACATCCCTGACACAGAAGTGCAAAGGATCTATAGGAAATGGCACCTCATTCGTGTTTTGGTTGTCCCACTTAGAGCTGGATATTGAGCAGAACATGGGAGAGTACCAACAGCCTTTGGTTTTGGAATGACTGTGGTTGATAGAAAGGCTGAGAGAGGAATTCAGGGATTCCTGGACCCAGATGTGGGAGAATCATGTAAAATGTCTGAGGCACTGAGGCAGAGTGAGTGAAGAGTGGAGTAGGACAGTCCCTATGAGCCAAACACCTCCTCCACATTCCTCACTCACTGGACTCTTGTTTTCTTGGAGGGAAAGGCGGCTTTGTTTGCTGTCACCTTTTCCCTCGCTAATTTTCCTGGTGAATCTTCTGGCCTTTACTCCTGCAGACATACTGAGCAAACAGCTGCCTTTGCAGAGAGTGTCCTCTTCCTGTTTTGCCTTCAGCTTGCTTGCTCTGCCCCCTCCAGTCCCCACCCTTCCCACTGGATTGCTGAAGAGTGGGATGGGGAGGCGTAGCCCTTGTGTTTTGCTTTGAGACCGCTCAGGCTGAGGTCCACCACCAGCAGAAACACAGCTCACCTGGCCTGAACAGAGGCCAGGCAGCATCTCCTCCCCTGCAGAATGAAGCTGTGAAAGAACAACATCCTGCAGTTTGAGGAAGCTGTGCCCACATCCATCCATCAGTGCAAGCCTCCACGGCTGGATCAAAGCACCATCTGGAGCCTGCCCAGTGCTCCCGTTGCTGACTGCTGCTTGCTCAGCCCCATCCACACAGCCCTTCCCCACTGCATTATTTTCACTCTCTCCTTTTTCTAGTGTCATCAAGCCCAGAGCTTTCACAGGAAAGGGCAAATGGGCTGGGACTCATTTTATCAGCAAAAGGGAACTTGCAAGAGATTCACAAACTTCTGGATGGGGCCAGAAGGTCTCTTTTTCTGCAGCAGCTGGTTGGAGATAGCAAGAGCAAGATTCGCCTGAACCTTTGATAATTAAACTCTCAGCTGCCGAAGAGCTGGCTGCCTGGCTGCCAGATAAATGCTGTTTCCCTTGAATTAGTGTGGAGCCAAAGTGACATCCAATGGCTGGTTAGGCTCATCAAACTGGCTGTTCTCTACAGCTATCCCAGGGGATGGAGCCCAGGTGGCCATTTGCCAATGGAAAAAGATAACTACTAATTCCAGGCACGTATCATCCTGCTGAATTTATCACATCTGCAGTTCAGGTACTTTTAGACTTCCTGATGTCATAATACTCCTTTATACAAGAGCTTTCAGGGAAAGCTCCCAAATATGCATTAGACAGAGATGTAATAAGACAGGTCCTGTATATTAAAGAGCTACTGCCAGCTCAAATTCAGTCCCAAATTTAAGGTTGAAATGAATGAACTATTATAAAGCCTGACACCATCAGAAACATTCTTGTACTACTCAGATTTTGGACAGAAGTCGGAAGAAAAATTGTGGGGGTGCTATTTCTTTAGGGGAAAGCAAGTGCCACCTGCAGGGCCCGCAGACAGGGCTGTAAAGTGACAATCGAAGAGCCAAGCGCTGATAAACATGAGACGAGTACTGAGCCTCATCCCCCACGCTGTGAGAAATAGAAAATGCAAACAAAGGGGTAGAAAGAGTGGAGAGCAAATTGGTTTTCAAAAACTCTTCCTGTTTCAGTCATCTCAGGTACTGCTGGATGCAGAGTCCCAGAAGCGTGGTGATGGTTTTTAAGTGGACAAGGTCCCCTGTGTTCCAGCTGCCTGTGTCAGGACAGCGAATTATTATTGCAAGGTCACTGATACACTTTGTCATACGCTGGGCAGGGGCCTTGCTTGCTAAGAAAGGGCAGTTTTAAGTCAGATGGACAAGGCTAAAGAGCTGTGCAAAAGCTGACACTGAGAAACAGAGATGGATACCAGCAGTGCAGAGGTTGTTATCCCCACAGGGGGCTGGGAAGGGAACAGAGCTTTGTCTGTCCCATTTAGGAGATACCTCAAATGAGTCTCCTTGCTGGGTCCTGATGCTGGGAATTCTAAGGGGCCTCTGACTTTGCAAAGCATGGTGGAGGGGTGGGAAGGGCAGCAAGGGCTGGGGGAGCTGAGCTGTGTGTGACACAGCTCCACAGTGAGCCCTGGGAGCAAGGACAGGGCTCCATGCTTGGCATTAAATGATGGAGGAGGCAGGGTGGGCTGGCAGGAGATGGCTCCTCTCTGCTGTTATTGAGCGTCTGCTCAGCAGGACTAAATGATCTCCTGGCATTTAAATAGTAAATATCAGTAAATCATCTGGAGGTGTGCCCATCCCAGGCCTGATGAATGCCTGCTGGTGAGGGCTATGCTCAGGGCCACCTGCACTGGCAGCTCCCACTGCCCAGTCTCCCTGCCACACACACACACACAGAGCATGAAGGCTGCACATGAGCAGATCGTGAAGGCTACTTGCACTGACATTTCCTTCAAGAAAGAGTGGAGAAAAGCCCTCAGTCCCACAAATTCAGCACTAAAACATCTGTTTCAGCACAAACCACAAGGACCTTGGTGCTGGAAACACGTATTTGTCCGCAAAATCAAAACCTTTCAAAACCATGTGTCATTGACTGATCAGCCTGATTTGCTGGGCTTTCTTTCGTGAAGGCCAAGCTGGAGGTGAGAGTTTTGATTTCCTTTTTGAGCTGGGGAAGAGTTTCTTTCCCAGCAGTAGTCTGCCTGGCCACCTGTACCAAACCTTGCAGCTCACAGCTATGCCATGAGAGCTGATTACACCTTGGCTGACCTGCCTTGACATTTAGTTGTTTAGTGGAGCCAGCTCTTTGTTTACAGTAGAGAGAGCTCGTTTGTCTGACCCTATCAGGGATTGGAAGGGCAGCTAATATTGACTAATGTCAAGTGGCTCTGGTGTACAAAAATGGGGTCTCCTGAGGCCCCCCTGCCATTAGCAGTACTCACAACTGGGGCCAGCAACGTTACAGGTTTTCATTAGCAGGAGTGTTTTTCGTAAGGAAAAACTTTGATAGAGATCCAAACTGAAGTGCAGAAGGTAAGGATGCTTGGCAGGGCTCTTAGAAGAGAAAAACTGGAAGCAGCTGGTATTCAACACCCACCAAGAGCTTCAAATGGCCATTCCTTGGTTCCTGTATCTCGTTGAATTCAGGCAGCTGTTGGGGGTACCAGTAGCACTG